GGTGGCTGTAATGGTGACAGTTGGTGGTGGCAATGGAGGTTGCGGTGGTCGAAGGTATTAGTGGTAGTGGTGGGAGGTGGTGGCAGTAGTGAAAGTTGGTGGTGGTGGTGGAAGACAATGATGCGGCAGCGATGTATGGCAGCAACAATGGCCAATATATAAGTTGGATTAATAATAACACACTCGAAAGATCATGCTTGTTTCATTATTTATAAGAAAATGGCTCATTGTTTGTGATATGTGTTTGAAGTCTGCCTCATTTAATGATAATAATCTCCATATACTTTTACTCCAGGTTTATTTACCGGAAAGAGAAAATTTTCTCCAGGAGATTTGTTGGTTATGGTATGTCTGATAGTTTTTGCTTCAGTTGTTCCCCCTGGAGGGACTTTTTTGTGTTGGCATAATTTACGTAAAAAGTGAGTAGAGCTAAACTATGAACTCACTTGTCTTGAAAACGTTAAACCTGACTAGTTCTTTTGTGTTGAGGTCCTATGTTAGGGTATTTATTTGTACGAGCTTATCCATGTTATGTTTAGAACCTGTTAGTCTCATTTTCTATGCACAAATTAAAAGAATGTTTTTATTTATTGTGTTGTGATTTATTCAAAGGTGTTTGGTAATTTATTGCCCCCACAATGTTTGAAAGAAAACAAATAAATACGTTTTTAAAAGAAAATATCGCAAGTTTTCCAACTACAATATAGAAAACAAATGAAAATAATTTGTATCAGCCACAAAAATGGCGGAGAGAGTTGAGTGGTCTCATCTCCCAGAAGAATTCTAGTCATTGTTGGCAAAGAAGAATCTCAACACTCGCGTTGATAATCTCCGACTTCGCTCCGTCTGTGGTTCATGGCGTTCCTCAATTCCTCCCTTCACCAAACCCCCTCCTCCTCTGCCTCTCCTTCTTCCTTCCCCAATCGATCCCTCTGACCTAAATCTAAACCCCGACGGTTACTTAACTCTCACAGAAAACACCATATACCTCCTCCAACCGCCCGATCAAAATCCAAAACTAAACACTTCAAAATCACCCGAGCCTTCCCATTCCATTCCATGGTTGGTTAGGGTTGAAGAGATTGAAAATGGCAAAATTCGTGCCCTACATCCTCTCTCTGGATTCCTTCCCAAGGAAACGTTTCCGAAAGAACTGAACTTGCTCGACTTTCGAATCACTGAAATCGGTAAAGCTTATAGCCTTCCTCATCTAAGAAAAAGTCGCAAGCCTAAGAAAGGTCGTAGTGTCATCGGCTCCATGCTCTGATGCTGATGATTATGCGGTGATGACAATCCAGGAAGAAAGTTGATGTTTTTCATCTAATTGTCTTGCTTCCTTTTTTGTAGTGAGAGAGCAAATATTTTCGTTTTTGCTGCAAGTTAGGAGATAAGAAATGGACCACCATTGACGACGATTTAGATGAGTATAATTATTACGACGACTTTGTGTATCACCATGGACAGTTCTATGCCGCTGACTGTAACGGAAGGACTCTGGTGATCGGTTCGGACTTGAAGGCAAAGCGGATTGCGTCGCTTGGGGATTGTTATGGCAGTGGCGGAGTACGTTTGATGAAGTCTTGTGGTGATCTGTTTATGATTGATAGGTACTTAGGGTGGGAAGAAAACAGTCCCTACCATGATGAGTATGATGAAAATGATCCTTTGCAGGTGGTTTACTTGAAAGTTTTTAAGCTGAACGAGAAGGAAATGAAATGGGAGCGGATTGAAACCTTGGGTGATCGGGTGTTGTTTGCTTGTGATGATTTCTGCTCCTATTCTGTTTCGGCTCGAGGTCTCAAAGGGGATTGCATTTATTTCTCCGAAGAAATGCTTATGGAGGATAATGAAGAAGATGAATGCCCGAGAGAATGGTAGACCAGCTTGGTGGATGGCAGGTGTGGGGCTATTACTTATTTTCCGGACCCCATGAAGAAATGAACGTAACTCTTCACATTGGGCATGAAATAGATACTTCGAAATTTTGGAGGAAAATTCATTTAATGTTGCATTTGATTATTTTGAAATAAATTATAACCATATTCAATTTCAAGACATCAATTCCGTCCGGTACTTCCAAAGATAGTTTTAGCATCTGTTAATGATTTTTCCTCTCATTTGAGTGATCTTTTTATCTGCCTAGCCAAAATTAATTGGAAAATCATTAGAATATTTTAGCAATTCATCAATTTTTGCATGATCTTTACAGGGTGGTTTGTTAAGGGACTTTGAGATGGTAAAGCTTCTAAGATGATTGAACAAGATTCAGACTGGAGTTCGTAATATTTATTACTTCCACTTTTTGGTGTCAATGATCTGTAGTATCATATATATGCAGGGTAAGTTGCACTTTTTCACAGTGGTGCTACTGAACTACTCTATGACTTGTAGTATATATACATTGGATCCTTTTGATTTCATAAAATGGTATGTAGCATTTCACTATTTTTATTATATTAACAGTCTATATGTTGAATTATTAATTAGAATATTGGTGAAATACGATCAACCAATAATTCAGAATATTATCGCAGGAGACCTAAATGAATCACACAATCTACCCTCATATGTATATTATACGCAGACGCACGTATCCTCCAGTCTTTCACACCTCGTATCTCTCAGGCATTCTTCTTTCCTATGTGAAAGAAGGGCGACTCAGTCTGGTAGTTGCCCACATGTCCAAATCAGCTGTAGGCTCGGAAAGCCTAAATAAAGAAGACGGAGCTAAAGAGTGACTGAATTCCTCATGGTCAAGTGCCTGTAGTTTTAAAAATGTACAAATAATATAACACCTGTTATTTAAATGTCACCTTTTTAATTTTTAAAAGTTGCAAATAAGGACATTTTGTCTGAGGAATAGATAAAAGTACGAAAATATCCCAATATTCTTTATTCAATAATAATAATAATAAAATTAAAGAAGTTAAAATTAACTAAATAGAGATAGGCCAAAACTACGTCATTTTGGGTAATGAAACACCATACGCAAACTACTTCGTTTACAAAGCCGTTTCAAGTAAGGGCTTACGACGACGATGAGCCGTTGCTGTCGCCGGCCGCCGGAGGTCGATTTGTTCCGGTGCCCGAGGAAGACAAGAATGAAGAACACGAAAACGAAGAGTTTCGAGGTTTCTTAGTCAATCCAATCTCTTCGTCCAGTACGGAAGAATCTGTGATCAACGGTGGCAGAGATTCGATGAATGTGGAGGTGAAGCTCATGCCGGAGGTTGCGGTTGTTTCCGTCGGACAGAGTCACCAGATCTACGCGGTGGTTCTGAGGGTAAATGCCCCTCCACCAACGCCGGTGGCGCACAATAGCAACGCGGCGCATTCTCTGGACCCGTCGCGCGGTGCGCCAGTCGATTTAGTCGCCGTGCTTGATGTCAGTTTGAGCATGAAGGGCGAGAAAATCCAGATGCTAAAACAAGCCATGTGGCTGGTGATTTCTTCTCTCGGCTCGGCCGATCGGCCCTCCATAGTGCGCATAAGCTGTATCCAACCCAATTCTAGGGAGAGAAAGCCTAGAGAGAGAAAAAGAGATGGCGATCTCCGATGCGATGGTCGGGAACCTGACGACGCTGTACCTGGCGGTGATTTTGGCTATCAAAGTGTACGGCCTGGCGGTTGGGAAGAGCTTTACTGGCGTTTATATGCTGTATGCACTCATCAAACACCTTTGATTCAGTATCTCTATGCACAGAGGTGTCGGCACTTATTTATTGGACCCACATTTGAATAATCAAATCCCTCCCAACCTCACTCGCATGTGCCCCAGCTCTCTCTCTCTCTCTCTGTTTGTGTGTGTGACTGTGTATAATTCAGATGAAGAAAATTGAATAGACTTCGAAGATCAGAAGAAATCGACAATAAGAATGTATGCAACTGACAAGATGGAATTTTGAATCTCTTTCTCTCTCTAAAATTATGGATCCAAGAACTCGTCTTGATCATGCTCTGTTTCAGCTCACGCCAACCAGGACCTGTGAATTACTTGTTCAATTCTCACACAATTTGTCAATTAAGAGTCTGTTACTCTCTCTCATTGTGTTGATTATGTGTTCTTACACTAGTATGATCGTATGAAGATGTGATGTGGTTATCTTTGTTGGTGGCGCGAACGAGAAGCTTGCGTCTGGACTACTTGAACCATTCCTTTCGCATCTCAAATCCGCAAAAGATCAGATTCAGAAAGGCGGTTATTCAGTTACTCTTCAACCGCCTTCAAGAGCCACCGATGGTTTGTGGTTCACCAATATACAAGGGTTTGGTGTAATGATGGGAGAGAGAAAATTGGATAAGTGCCACACCTCTAAAATAAATCGAAATTAAATCTAAACCTCTAAATTTTTCATCATTAATCTTTGGTTTTGATGTAATGATGGTCAATTACAAATTTTTCGATCATTATGTTCATTATTTACAAAAAAAAAAAAAAAAAATGTACTTTAAAAAGTGTGCAAATATCCCTTTGGGCATTTTGGATAGTGCAAAAGGATATTTTAGGTAATAAAAGGCCAACTTTTGCTCACATGCACGACACATGCCAAATTTGTTAGTAAAAAGCTCTTATTTGCAACTTTTTAAAACTAAAAATGTGACATTTGAACAATAAAAGTGTTATTTGCACATTTTTTAAAATACTGGGTGTTTTTTGCACTTACCCCATATATTATGCAAAACTCCTCAACCTGCTTTCCTTCTCTCCACTTTATTGCTCTTGCAACCAAATTTTCTGTCTTCAAATAAATTTGCATATTGCCGCGTGAAGGCTTGAACTTCAAATTCCATCTATAAAAAATGGTCTAATTCACTTACAAAGAACAACAAACTCATTTCAAAGTCCTAGTTTGTTCTCAATGATCCATAATCCAGGTTGCAGAAAGAAGACGGACATCAACAACAGGTTCATTACGAACTCAAAACATGGTTTTACAAGTCACTAGTTCAGAGAGAGCTGTTGTTCAAATATCTTTGATCAAAACTCAAAAGGGGGAAAATTGTAACAGAATAATTTAACTTTGTATTGCACATTCCAAGCGTAAATATTATGTACATTATTGCCTATAATATTTAAAAGCAGAGCAAGGGAGCAGCAGCAGTTTCAACCAGTGCCTCACCCTCCAGTACTCGAATGCTTTTAATAAAGAATACCCATCCCCCCATCCCTACGTCTCAAAAGAAATTACTTCCAGTATGTTATGAACTCAAGCTCTTGTAGATAGTAGGAAGCATATGGAACAGTTAGTTTGTAAGCTGCCATAGACGATCCAGGAGCTGTACATGACCTATATACTTAGCAGTGGATGAATCTAATTAGGTTGACTTAAATCATCAGATTTAAATCCAGATGCTCTGGCAAGCTCTGACAATTCTTGCTCTCCACTCAAAACCTGCAAGACGTGGTGTTCTATGAGAACATACCTTTAAAAAATGAGAGAATTTAAGGCACTTATCATGCCAGCCACAATAAAGAGAAAAGGTTCACCACATAAGAGCCTCCCCACCTCGCCATTAATCACCCATGTTGGAAACCCTTCAATTCCAGCATCCGCGCATGCCTTGGCTATTTTAGTTCCTTTCCTATATCCGCCAGGGAAGCATTCTACATAGTCCAATAGCTTTGCTGCTTCACTTCCAAACATCTGCATCAAAAACATAAAGCAGGTGATGCAATAATAATTTTCTGATGCAGGCAGAATTTCAAATTTCCTGCAGCAATGGATTCGTGTTTTTCAAAAACTATCCATATTTTGAAATTCTGCCTGCATCATTTTCAAAATAAATTATATGGTATTGTGGGCAAACCGCTGCTTATAAAAATAAAAGGCATAGTTAGTTAAGAGAAGCAAACCACCTACCTCTTCTCAAATCATGCTCCTGAAGTTATAAAAATGTATTAACAAAATAATGTGGATCCGTTCTTTCTCACCAACATTGAGTTGAAAAGAAAAAAAAATTACCAACCAAAGAAAAAGTAATACTATACAAAAAAAATTCATTTCAAAATAAGATGATAAACACATCCAACAAAATTTGCAACTTGAGATAACAATAACAAATCGAATGTAAAAGTTGCAAATAGAACATCATATCTTTTAGCTTCCACCAACTTCAGTTGTACCTTGCTACATACAATTTTGAAAATCCATCAAGCATTCTGAAAATACTGTTCATCACTCATAAATTGTAGCAACCCATACTTCATATGAGTTCTATTCAGCTCCATTTTCAAATATAATGAGTACAGCCATGAAAGCTACGTTATGACACAATTTTGGTTGAGACGGTGTTTGAATTTAGGAGAAATTTTTCGTTTTTGAGATTCCTAAGAGATTTTGGCCAGTACGTTTGGACGCGGTTGTAGCATTTCCTATTTATTTGTCTATGAGAGCTACAGTGGATCAGCAGTCTGAGTAAGGATGGGGAAAGGAATATGTCAGTGACCTAGCACTAAGGGTAAGCACGTAGCTCGAGGGCATCAAAGACTACTTTCTCTGGATACTACTGTGTAAGTGGCCACCTTGGAAAGGGAATGAGTAGGAAATGCCTGTTATTTGAGAGGACCTGTGATGTTGTGGCCCGAATTTTGTGACGGGTCGTTGGATTGGAAAATTTTTTACCTGTTTTTGCTCATGGATCATGAACCCTAATTAGTCTCTTGTAGCCCGATATATAAGGTCGCTTAGGGTTTGGAGTGTTGTAAGAGAGAGACTTTGAAATTCATACAGAAAGAGAGTTATGGGCTGAAAACTTTTAATCTCCGATTTTAAACATAATGAAAACTTTCGCCGGATCTCAACCGTGGACGTAGGTTGTAGCCGAATCACGTACAAATCTTTGTGTTCTTTGTGTGGTGTGTTTACTTTTCTGTCGTGATTCATGATTCTATCTTGGGTTCGCTGCGTTTGTCGTAACAGAAACAATCCTTGATTCGCACACTGACTGGAGGTTGCAGCTCACTTCTACATTTTTGTTTAGGTTCTCGAGATTCTCAATCACTCTTTTTAGTTATTAAGTACAAGCGAACTGCCGGAAGAAATCGAGATAGGGACTCCAGCGGTTCACGTACAAGTTGAGGCTCGGGCAAGACTGGGCTCAGACAGGGGTCAACTCTTTGGGCTAGGTAAAGCTTGAACTCCATTCCTACAGGCCATGACGAGAATATTCAATAACATGCCCAAAAGAAGTATTAGAAAGCCCCGTTGCAGGGGATCAATAAAGCAAGGAATCAATATGGGAACGAAATACACATATGGTGACTTTCTCAGCGCGCCGCTTGAGTGGCTTCAATCATGAGTTTAAAGTAACGTAAATGGCCATATAATGAGTTTGGGGGCTGGTATTGGTTCACTTGCGATACCAGTTCTCGTTGCTCAACTCCGAGATGTATGACATCAAGAAAGACTCGACTTTCTGATATATAACTTTCTGAGCTCTTTAGTTTCCCCCCACCCCCCCCAAAAAAAAGGGGAAAAAAAGAAAAGAAATACCCATTCTCGTTGCTCAACTCCGAGATGTATGACACTCAAGAAAGACTTGACTTTCTGATATATAACTTTCTGAGCTCTTTAGTTTCCCCCCACCCCCCCCCCCCCCCCAAAAAAAAAAGGGAAAAAAAAGAAAAGAAAGGGAATATGAACCAACATTACCCAGAGAACTGATTGTTTCATTTATGACAAATATATAGCCTTGGGGAGGCCCGCAGGCCCGAGAGTATTGAAGAAAATTATCTTAATGCATTGAGTAAAAAAATTCTAATAAATGAATATTATACTATGACTTTGAGAAATAGCTTGGTCTACTAGATCCAAGTCCTCAAGCTGCAACAAGAAACAACAGCAACCCTCATCAAACTCTTGAAATCAGTTGATTAGTCTAAGGTACTGTATATTGAAAACTTAATGGAGGAAAGTGATAACAATATCACAAAGAATGCATTAAGAGAAGCACAAACAACCCGCCCTTGGTTCTACCATGCTCACACCCAATAGCTTCGGTAAGAGTTCAATCCCTCCCTCGCCTCAAACCATAGCACGCTGTGCCATGCACCTCAAAAATATAAGAAAGATATATTTCATGTCCTTAAAAGTACCACGAAAAAATATATGAAAATAACCGCAGGTATTTTGTTCCAACTGATAGTCTGTTTTTTCCACATCCGTCCTTATCAACTTTGCCCCTTTATCCATATGAATGGGGTAGGCCATATGTATTCTCTTTTTCCATTCCTTTTAATTACGAGCCATGCTTTCTCGGCATAGTTATCTATTTTAACAATTTTAAATGAAATTTACAGCAAAATAAAGTGGAAAGGTACAGGCATGACAATTTTCTAGAGATGATCATCAATGAATTAAACAGCTTAATTTAAAAAGATGAATGAAATGAGCACATTTGACATAAAGAAATTAATTAGATAATTAAAATCTACAATATATCAAGTCCTTGATTTGTGAAGGTCTTAGTGACCAGTGGCCTCATTATAAAATTGTAATAATAGCTGTTTCCGGACCCTCACCCTGGTTTTGTCAGATGATTCAGAACTTTCATAAGGATTCTTAGTGCTTCTGAGAAAAAAATATCAGTTTTCTTTTCAACAAAGAAAAAGAATACATTTGTATTCAAACATACTATCCATTATGTACAAATACTTGCATTCAGTAAGTCTACAAAAGAATATGTGAAGATTATCAACAATCATCATTGAACTCTTGGAATTAAAGATGATGATTAGCATCTCGTGTCAATGAAATTTATTTCAATTTCTGGGGCTACAAATGCCACCAGACATTAAAGTTGAACATGAGACTATTTCTTACACTCCAACTTTCTGATTGTTAAGCTTTTGTTAACATCAACATCATCCGGTATGTTTACATATAAGCTAAACGAGGCAATTGTGAGAGCGAAGTACCTGTTTTTGCTCTAAACAATGTGAACACCAGAAAGCCCCATACATTTTAGCTCCTACAGAATGTAGATGCCTTGCAAGAGAGAGAGTTATAGGACTTGATTCCGTCGTAATCTCAGTTGTAAATGGTTGTAGATCCAAGCTGTTTGGAAATATGGGGAAAAGATCAAATCAATGTTCCTTTCACATTGTAAGACCAAAACATGCATATCATCTTCAATTATGATGCAAGAACTGACTCGTTTTAAACAATAAATTTCCCCTGAGCTACAATAGACCGTGTCATAACAATAGTTAAATGAAGTAAAGTTCTGTGGCAGCCAACCATGGGGTTATCTTCTAAATCATAAATCCAAGAGGGATCTACCATTTGCATATACTGACCAGTCCTCTTTCCCTCATCAGATCAATTGACCCAATCAAGTATCATGCCTTTCATCAAGGTAGGATTCATCACACATTCACTTCAATGGTTTTAAAATTGGCGAACATGAAAACCTTCAGTGACCCCTAATAAGGGGGTAAAGTGCATAAAACCCCCCTGAACTATGATAAAGTTACCGAAAAAGAGGATTACGATATTACCCTTGAGTGGAACTATTGGTGTTGTCTTAACTCAGCTGCTGACGTGTCAAAAAAATCTAAACAGTCCAATAGAATTTTGACAACACATCGCTACCTTATCAACTAACCACCACTCATTTAGCGCCAAACACGGCCTTACACATAAGGCTTTCTCTCCCTGTACGCTCTAGTTTTCCCACCGTTGCCGACATTGTCGACCTCCAGCAGCCAGCAGCTGGTCTTCAATGAAATTCTCGGTTTGGGTCTTCAAAGATGCTCACGGTACTGGGTCTGTATGTTGCTCGCCAAAAAGCTTTGTAGGATATATCTGTTTGTGGTTCATCGGAATGATACTTCACTGGTTTGCTCGCGGTGCCGGCGATCATGGAGTTTGAGGTGGGCTCTCACCGGTTTCGCTCCGATTGCATTGTTCATGCTTAGACCTTCTCACCGGTGCCGGTCGGTCATGGAGTTTGAGGTTGGGCTTTCACCGGTTTTAATGGAAAAACCTTCATTTTTTATTGGAGTGGCCGGAAACAGTCCCAGTGCTATCCCCTTTGGCAGTCACAGTAAAGTGTTCCAGCCCTCAATTCTTTCTCGCTATTCACAAGATCGTATCTTTAAGTTCGCCACAATAATCATTTGTTAGTTATAATCTCTCTGAATCAATCAATTACTGCGTTTGAACTCAGAAAAACACTTCGATTTTGACAACAGTGGATTTGGAGCCTGAGTTGCATGATCAACGGGTTTTGGTAAGGTTTCGGTTACCTGGGTTTGAACAGAAATCTCGGTCCTAGCAGTGTTTCTTCTCCAGGGAGGCCCAGTATTTTTTGAGATTTTGGTAAGGTTTTCTTTCTTTCCCTAATTTGGGTAAGTTTTCTAATCTTTTGGGTAAGATCGATTGAAGATTAGAATCTATTAAGTGTGCAAAAATATGAGTCACCAGCTATCTTGTTTGGTTTTGAGGGGAAAAAAAAAGTTAAGGCTAAACCTCCATTTTTGGGAATACAGAGATAAACCAAGAGGCGCCAAGGACTGATTGTATCAATTTACAGGATGTAGGCCATGCTGAGAAACGTGGCGGTGCCGGCTAAGAGCTCCATCGTCAAGGCGGTGTCACGCTTGGCGAGTTTGAAGCGCTTGCCAACTCTGCTCCCGGCGATGAATAAGTTCAGCCAAATCAGCCTGTTCTCGGTTTTGGATGTGGTGCCGCGGTTGTTCGTTCTCGATCTCCATGAAAGATGGAAAGAGAGGTGCAGTTGAACAGAGTACGCAACTGGGGAAGATATATATATGTGTGTGTGTGTATATACATATATGAACTATGTTTAATAATATATATGTACTACAGTCTACAGCATATGTATATGTATATAAGGGTAGCATTGCCATTTTCAATTTACAACATATGCCACGTGACTATTTTACTAAAATTTACCGGAACAGTGTCATCTAGACTTTTTTGCAAAAATTGGGATAGTTTAGAGAGTTTTCTGTAATAAAAAATAAAAATAAATAAAAAAAATCCAGGGGGGTTTCTTGGGAGAGAGAGTAAAGTTCAGGGTTTTTTTTTTGCACTTTACCCCTAATAAGATAATTGAATATCTCAGTGTCCTTTGACCTTTAGTTTGAAAATTTGATTGGTCCAACACTTGTACCAATTTAGATTATGTGTGTAATCTTTGGAAACAGTTAGCATTACCTAAAGTGTGACTAAATTCCCCTCCCAAAAACAGAAAGAAGAAGAAGGAAAAAAAGAAAAAGAAAAGAAAGAAATTTTGTTGCTAAAACAAGCGCAAGCATATACAGCATAACAGCATGCTCCAATGTTTCTCATAGCTAAGAAGGGGATTCAGCATTGATAATGAATTTTACAAAAATTTGGAACCGTAGATTCCATATGGATTCGCGCTAAACCTTACCCACCCTTGAGTTGCCAGTGATTCGCAAAGGTGGAGGGTGAATTTTTGTATCCTAGGCTACTAATATAGGACAAGGTGGAGGATAGGTGGACAAAATTATAAGGAAATTCACAAATAAATAACCATAATTTCTTTAACTTTTCAATAAATATTTCACATATCTAAATATAATAGAAAAGATAATTAAAATTCATGTAAAAATGAATGAATCCAATCTCTATCTAGTCTTTTATTTATTTATTTACTTTGAAGAAAAGCGAGTAATAGCAAATATAGGTGGACAAAATTCTAAGGAAATTCACAAATAAATGACCATATTTTCTTTTAACTTTTCAATAAATATTTCACATTTCTAAATATATTAGAATAGATAATTAAAATTCATGTAAAAATGAATGAATCCAATCTCTATCTAGTCTTTTGTTTATTTATTTACTTGAAGAAAAATGAGTAATAGCAAATATGTTTATGTGAATGAGAGATGATGTCATATGTGACCTGTACATGTATTGGAATACCTTGGGGAGATGGACTGGGAAGTACCATATGAGGTGCTTAAAGCAGCAACCACCAAGGCAGCTAAACAGATCTGTAGACCCAGTGCCTTTTGTATTTCTTGGAACCCAAAATCCTGCAAAAGAACCCCCAAATTAAGATCTTATTGTTTTCATTATTGTTGTTGTTTTTATTTTTAGTTTTAGTTTTTTGAGGAGGGTGTAACTAGCAAGAAAAGGAAAAGTAAATATAACTTTAGTTAGGAGAGAAAAATAAATAAATGAAATAATAGTGCCAACCTCTCCTCTTATTTGGATAACTTAGGATGAAAGCAAAGAAATTTATAGTGGTAACCCCCCTTTTGTTTGGGAAGATTGAGAAAGGGGAAGAAATAAAAGCAATCTTTATTATGAGAGTAGGAGTAACAAAGGAGATTACTTGTCATAATAAGTAGGAACAAAACAGGTAATCAATAACTACCCTTTTCTTACTCTCCAAATCCTTCCACTTTCTGGAGTAAAAGAAAAACTGAGTTATGAGGAAGTGATGTTAACCCTTCCTCCATCCCTTTCCTTCTTTTTCCCAAGTACCCCAAACCAGACAATCTTTAGTTACTGACAGATCAAAGAAAGGATTAATTTATTTTATTCGAATAAGACAAGTAAACCTTTAGAGTGATGAAAAACAAGCTGAGCGACAACAGTGCTGACACTAAACAGTATGAGCATGATGCTCCAGCAAACTTTGTGCTTAAAATGTACAAGAAGTACACACTGGCAGCAGCCATGGAGGTAGTGCTACCAAGTAAAATTAAACGGCCATTAGTTTCATCCATCCCGAAAGGCATGTTCTTTCCAGCCAACTGTACACCAAGTATTGTAACTAATCCATATGCGACCAATCCAATCAATGGAAGAGGAATACCTGGCAAATGCAAAAGGACTGTCAATGAAATCCCCTTTCAAACATGTCCCTGCAATTTGTGGTCTAAAACCTTCACTCAACTAAACACCTACTCGATGTAAAGTTAAGAAATTTAAGAAGTGACAGAACATGCATAATCAAATAAAAGAAGGTATACGCATTCGGGGGAAAAATAAAAATCTAGATTCACAAAGATTAGCTTTAACAGGAAGCATTTTTATTTAAATGGTAGATGCATAGTGATAACCTTCCCATATGAAAATAAACCATTCCTTGCAGTGTGGTACGGTAGGAGGAGAAAACAATGACTTTGTTAATTTGAAATAGCTTCCCTTCGACAAGTCTAATGATCAAAAACATGTTTACTGGCCAGTTTAAACTCCAATTTTAAATTTTCCATAGGCCCAGTACAGGGAAAGTCCCAATGAAACATGCCCCCAAAACCCTGCCATCTCTTAACAATCATCAATATATATATATATATATATATATATATATATATATATATATATATATATATATGTTATTCTTGCAATAAATTTCACAACAATTAATCAATTTACTATTCCAATCTCAAATCCACTAAGCAAACAACAAACCCAGAACGAACTATATTATTTATAATATATGTATGAGAAAAGAATACCGAAAACAGCAGCGTAATCGCTATTGAGGATGTCAGTGCAAGTGCCACCGCCAATGGGGCAAAAGGCATCGGAATTGGTGAGTTTGAGGTAAGTCAAGTAGGAGGTCTCCAGAAACCCTAGGCCTCCGAGACCTGCATACCAATTGTATGATGAAATGCTCGTAGACCCAGAAGATGAGGACGACGACGACGAAATGTTGTCAGCTTCAGGCTCCACATCTCTAATTGGGTCCGACGAGCAATTTACACGAAGCATCAATACTCGCCCAGCAAAACCATTCTTCAATAATTAAATGGAAAACAATGTGTCAATTGATCGTCAAAGCAGATAGATACATGCGTTTGTATATATATACAGAAAGAGTACCTTGAATTGGGTAAGGGCAAGAGAACGAGGAGAGCGATGAGGGGTCCGAAACAATAACGACGGAGATGGAACGCTCGCGAAGCTCGCCATCCCAATTCAACCCTAAAACAACCTCTTCTCTTCTTCTGATCACTGATAAAATTACTTCAATCAGTTGTTTCTCTTTACTGCTTGCGATCTTTTGTGTGCAACTATAGATTATAGTTCTCTTAAATAATAATAATAATAATAATAATAATAAATAAAACAAAATTAAAATAAATAAATAAATGCAATTAATGCTTGACCTCATGATAATTGTCACATTCTTTCATCAAATTTTAGCAGACAATAAATAATGCACAAATTGTATTGTGTAGTAAAAAATATTAAAGTGATCCTATTGTTAAAAAAAATAAAAAAATTAAAATGTCATAAAATAAAATTATACAAGACAAACATAGACGGAAAAATTATGAAAAGAAAGAGAATGTTAAAGTTTGACTGTGAATGTAAAAGTGTGATCATTAGACTCCGTTTGTTTAACGTAAAATATTTTTTTTTTTAGAAAAATATATTTTTTTTAGGTAACATATATTTTTATTTTTACTTTCTTGATATTTGACAAAGATCTACCTCAAAATTGAGGTCGAATCCGTCGAGCGGGACATGTAAAATAATTTATCAAAAATTGATGAATAAGATATCTTTGTTAAATTTTATTTTATTTTTTTCTTTGTAAATATTTTACGACAACTAAATACCAAAAAATAAAAAATAAAAAAATATTTTTTGAAAAATATTTTACCTCCAAACAAACGAATCCTTATGGTTTGCTGCCAATTAACTTTGATACAATTATCTTTTAAATGATTAGAATGACAAAAAGACACTCAGTTGATGACTAATTAGTGTGATATGCTACAAATAAATTTTGGTACAATTTTTTTTCAAGTAACTAGATGCGCTTCTTATAATTTGTAACGACAAAAATATAGAGTTGATGATAATTGAATGAGATTTATCTTACGTTAATATAATGCCTTCATTGTTTTTAGCATAAGAGAAATTTTGACATAGGTTGTATGAAAGCACACACAAAGATGCACCTTTGAAGATATAGTAGTGGATGGGGCAAGCTAGGGAGAATGTGCCCCTTGGGCACACACGGGCTTGCCCTACGTTTTGGTAGGTAATAATTTAATGAACCTATTACTTATATTCGATGGGATGGTTAAGAGATTATTTATGGTTAAATTATTCATATCTTGTCAATGGATATAAATAGTTTAAATTCAAGGATCTTGTTTGGGCTGTTGGCTGGGATCGAGGCATTTTATTATTATTATTATTATTATTCCCCGCACTGATTTTTTTATTATTATTATTGTTATTTACTACTAATTTTTTATTATCTTTAATTATACATCTATAAAATTTCACTTTGCCCTCCCCCTAAAATTACAAAAAAATTATACTAAATTCACTTTTGCCCCCTCCTATAACTTTCTGAATCCATCCCTAGATACAAGATTTATGTTCTTAATTTCATAGCGTAGATATTGGCGGGAATTGATTGAAACTTTAGCATGGGCTTTTGTAATTTACCCTCTCTTTTTTCAAAACCAAAGATGAAGGGTTACTGTTTCTTCAAGAATATTGTGAGAGTATTTTTTAGACAATAAAATAGAAGAGAAGAGAAAATAAATAAAGGTCAGAAGAAATTTTCAGCTTGGATTGAATCTGAATTAGACCCTTTTCCCAAGGCCCTAACTGGTCAATCTCGTCGCCCAAGCCAAGTTTTAGGGCCAAGAGATTCATCAAACAGCCCAAAAGTGGTATTTTGGCCCAAAGGGCAATGGATTGGTGAGGTTTCAAAAATTGAATTAATCCATCGGCATAGACTCATAGCCCAATCTTGTTAACCTCGGCATGTGTGCAGATAAAATCCGGCGGTTTCAAACTTATCACAATCTCCGTGTCTCCGTGTCACCACCTTTCTCAATATCCAAAACTGAAAGCAGCTGACTCACCACCACTCACGCATTAATCCACAGCGATGGTGTACCATACATATTCTGGACATGCCAACTTTTTATTTAAAAAAAGAAAAGAAAAAAAAGACTTGGATTGAATTAAAAATAAAATTATATTTGTGCATTTGAAATAAATAAATATCTTATGTAGTATATAATAGAAGTGGTGAACGGTAAATTTCACTTGAGAAGTACAATTTTAATATTATTTTTTTAATGTAATTTGTTAACACTATGCATAAAATTTAAAATCTTGTTAAATTTTATGTCTATAAAAAATTTATTCATTCCAAACGGTACAAATTTCATTTAAATTTTTTTGTTTTTTCTGTCCCCTTTTTAATTTTATTTGTTCCGAACAGTAAAAAAATTCATTTTAAAATCCAATTTCCGTTAAATCCGTGTATCCAAACACAGCTCTTTAAGATTCTATAATAGACTCCACTGCAAGCTCTCACTAAACAGAGAAGTTAAGGACACGTACATACACCGACGGAGATAGATATAGAGAGCAATCATGGCGAAAATTTTCGTTTCTTCTTCCTCACTTCCTCGACTTCTCTGCCCTAAAAGCTTCAGTTACAGGTTGCTTTATATATATATATATATACATATCTACATACACACATTCCATTTCTCTTATCTCTATCTTATATAGCTTCTTCAAATTCATTGACTGTAGGTGTGTATCGGTAGTATCTTTGTTATCTACGGCGACATCTCGGTTTCAGCGTCCCAATAAACGTATCATTGGCACCAATGATAGAGTTTCGAGCTTCAGGTGGGTGTTAGGGTTTGTTTCAAGTAAAAATCCAATGGTTTTTTTTTTTTGTCTTTTTTTTTTTGCAATTTTAGGTTTTTATGATCAATCGAATTTATATTGCTCAATAATTCGCAGTTGGAGTGCTAGTTCCGGAGGGAACGCGGGGTCGACGGCCGTTCCAACGTCTGTTCCGGTTCGCGTAGCCCACGAGCTTCTTCAAGCCGGACACCGTTATTTGGACGTCAGGTACACTGATAATTCTGATTGGCAAAGTGGTTTTAAGGGTTTTTTTTTTTTTTTTAAATTGTATATGTTGGTGTGCTATCGATTGTGCTTTAATTTAATTTAATTGATTGATGATAGTGGGGTATTATTTATTTATTTATTTTTTTCCTGTGATTAGGACACCTGAAGAGTTCTGTACTGGACATGCTGTTGGGGCTACCAACGTTCCTTACTTGTTGAGAGTTGGATCAGGTTTATGCCCTAAACTCAAATTAGAATTTAGCATTAATATTTGTCAAGTATATTATATTGTTATAATCAATTTTCTGCTGATTGATTTGAGTTTTTGAGAAATTTGGGTTATGTTTTTATAACTTAAATGTTGAGTTAAAATTGTCTCACTCTAGATATAGAATTGATTCATTTAGCATACTATAACACCAAAGCATAGCCTTTTTATATGTACATTTGCTCATACTTATAATTAGACTCGAGTCACTCCAAAACTGGTAGCTCTTTGCTGTGAGGTTCATGCTCCAGTTTGTTTATCATAGCAAGTGCAATTGTGTCGATCATTGAAATGGGGTTGAATGTGTACTTATCAAAAAAAAAAAAAAAAATGAGGGGGTGGGGTTTGAATGTGATCATGGACAAGAAATGTTGTCTTGGTATTCACAATTATTCTGAATACGTTATAATTTCTCTAGTGCTCATTGGTAACATTTACTTCCCATATTCTGCATGTATAGTCTGTTCTCTTCTTTTTGTTGCCTTACCTTTTTTTGGGGGTTTGTTTACTGGTGTAGGGATGACGAAGAACCCTAATTTTTTGGAGGAAGTATTATCACATTTTGAGCAAGATGATGAAATTATTGTTGTGAGTTCCCATTGCTGAAATTATTTAACTCATTCTCTACGTTGAAATTGTCCTCCATTTTTCTGCTCTTCCTTACTAATGTTTTACCTCCTGCATTAACAGGGATGCCAGATTGGGAAAAGGTCATTAATGGCTGCAACAGAACTTGTATCTGCTGTAAGTATATCGTTTATATACAAGGATCCCTAAACTGAATATAAATATATATATACATATATATATATTTATATTTATATATTCTGGAAACAGAATACTTCTTCCCCAATTTGTTTCTACTCAATACTAGGAACATGAAGTAACTGTGAAAGTGACTGGTTATTAGTGTTGTGTTTTCAAATTTTTGGATTGCCATTACACCTTAATGAGAGATGTACCATTTTTTAATCCGAATGATTAGTGTATTTTTGATATGTTGTTTCGGACTTTTTTAGTATTACAAGGAGATGTGTCTGCTGCATTTCTAAGTTCCTCCTACTATTACTTTTGGTGTCTTTTTATGAATGTAGTCAGTTGTGTTGTTTTTTCATATAAGATATTTCAACCTTGTGTCATCTAGTGAGCTTGCCACGTAATCATTTTACTCTTCTAAACCTGGATTTTGAACTTTAAACTTTAAAGAGCCTTACCTGGATAATTGTAGGAAGAAACTGCTGAGGTATATTGTTGCAAAGTTTTTTGCATTAATTTGGTAACTTTGGTTGGATTTGTATTTAAGTGAGAGGTGCTATATGATTTGGAGATGCTGATTAAATGCATAGTAAATTGACAATTGGTAAAAACTCTACTTCTATGATGTTGTCTGGGTAGGAGTTTTTGTTAGTCTTGAATATGAAAGATCCTCTTCTTGAACAGTTAGAAGCTTGTGAGTTTCTACAATTAAAGATGTGACAATGAAATTGTTGATGTTGAAAAACTAATGGGAATTGGTTATATAGAGTGCAAGAATACTTTAATTTGATAGGTTAATGTAGAAAGGGTTTGTTACATTAGTAGTTATTGGTTCAAGCCATTGAAGTTTTATGTGATGATTTTGTCTCTTGAATATGTGACTAAAACAAAAATGGATAAGCAATGAACTTCTCGAATAAAATTGAAGGTGAGCTTGGTTAATGATGAACGTGGACCACAATATCTTTTGTGTTTCTGCTATGAAGAGAGAAGGAAGGGTTATGACTTATGAATTGTTGGAACTAGAAATAAACACTATACATTTGGAGGATTTTTGACATCTAGTGGATTGTATAATGTCCAGAAATTTCAGAAATGTGTTTATAATGTATCCCTTTTAATTTGGATGGGAGTTTGCAAAATTTCTTATCCTACTTTTTATTTTTAGTTGGATCATATTAAAGTTTTCGTTGATCCTTTCACACTTCAACATCGCATATCATTTTTGGATATATGGTCAATGAATCAGCCACTATACATAAGTGGGACATCAGCTTGTTAAGAATTTATTTCATAATAGCTTCCAGCCTCTACTCATGGCTTGAAAATATTGAAGATTTTTTTTGAGTATTTTTTTTTTTGGGTTAGCTTTGTAGATTTACCATTTGGGTGTTTGATAATCGGACTATGAAACCATTAACTTGCATTTATGAGGATTTAAAGGGGTTGATGTTTCTCGGTTTCTAATTTTAAAGCACTGTTGTGGTTTTGATTGGAAAACCTGCGTTGACAGTGAAATGAAAACGGGCTAATCATTCTTTATGCAGCTCAATAGTTCCATGGGATTCAATGCATCGGTTTGAAACAGAGATTGCTCTCCGCTTTTCAATTTAGTTTTATCAGATTGAAATCTTGATTGAAGATTTGCTAGGGAACTTATTGAAACTTCAATTTACTTTTGCAGGGTTTTACAGGGATAACAGATGTAGCTGGTGGGTATGCTGCATGGATACAAACCGGACTTCCAACAGAGTCGTAACTTATGGCAACCAGACACCTACTGGTCTAGTGCAGTTCTGGAGCAAATAAGAAAAGTGATGTATAAACACAGCCAATATGGTGTACAATTAGTGAAACCTGGTTTAGGGACGTGTTGATGTATAAGCACAACAATATAATAAAGTTGCATCTGGGTGCTACAAGTACCAAGGATACTGGCAAATATGGTGGAAAGGGTTTTAACAGAACGTAATACTAATAGTAACAAATTTCTGAAACTTTGTAATTTGCTCTTTCTTAAGATCTTCTGTGAAGATCAGGTCGTCCTCGTTTTGCTTAATTTTAGTGACTAATGTCACGCCCCGCCTATGGAGGTTGTACCACGCAGGCGACACGCAGACGCTAAGGAGGACGCTGCATGGCAAGTGGAGTTTCTAGAGTCTTCTGGAGTAGTCTAGAGTTGTGTGGAAGATTCTAGATATGTGTAGTATATTCTAGAAGTGTGTGGAAGGTTCTAGAATTCTCCTGTGGAGTAGTATGGAGGGTTCTAAAATGTTGTAGATATGTATGGAGATGTGTAGAAGGTGGAAGAAGATTCTAGAGAATCAATCTCCACCGTTGGTTAGAATGCATCCTAGCCATCCATTAGGGATGGGGATGCCTATAAATAGGAGTAGGACTTCATTTTGCAAACAACAAGTCCTAGAGTGAGTCTTGAGAGCTTTGTAGAGAACTTGAGTGTTAGCCTTGTACAAAGCATTCTTTGAAGTAATAGAAGTGTTCTTTCCTTGCCAACTTAAGTGCCTTAGTGTGTGTGAGTGTGCAAGCCAAGTGAGGAGAGGGCGAGGGCAACTACAACACTAGTAAGCGCACAAGGGGAGTGTGTTGGCTAAGGTGTGCACGGGAGTTAGGCTGACCAAGTACTTGTGAGAGTGGAAGCAACGTCTTGGTGCCGCACGGGAGCAGCTAGAGTGGTGCTGAAACTCTAAGCCCGTGACACTAAGCTCGAATTAGGAACTTTGACTCAAACTAACCCAGCTGAATTTGGTAGACAGAGACTACCCAATGCTGGACAAATGCTTTAAACCGTGTCCGGTACCATTTTTTTAATGCACAGTCGATACTGTAGATTAGGGTAAAATGAAATTTGATTAAAACCCATTGAAACACAGGTGACCGGGCATTTTTTTCACTGTTTGGGCTGTACGCTCTTTGTAACAGTTGCAACGGTTGGATGCTTGTCATTCGGCCAAAAACTTAAGCTGTGCAAACATTTTACTCTGAACTTGCTTTTGTTGAGATCAGATCACTTTTCCTAATGGTCCACTCAAACGGTGGGTGGACTCAATAACAACTAGAACACAAACCCGACTTTTCGTGGTACAGTTGGTGTAATAATAGTTCAAACAATGGGTTTGTTTTTTTTGCGAAAATTAAAGCAATTTTCATATATATTAATAAAATGTACATTATACGACCTTTGGCCGAAAAGGAAAAATAAGCTCAAAGGGGCAAGACAAGCCCAAAGGAGCAACATAAGCCCAGTTATGGGACAACACAAAACACATAATTGCGACAAAACACATAATTGTCCGGCGAAGGCCATTAATGGAGTTGAGAAAGCATTTCGGTGATAGCGTAACAGCGGCTGAACCGACTCCATTTAGTCCGGTGGCCGAGGGGGAGGTCTACAGTAGGAGGGGGAGATATTCTAGCTCTTGAGAATTGATCTTGAGGAGGAACAGTCCTTCAAACAGCCAAGCTTCAGGATTGCCACAATTGTGGAGGAGATCTTAGCACAAAGTACCCTTTGAGAGGATTTCTGTCTTCTGAAGATTCTAGCATTTCTCTCTTCCTAGGTATGATACAGCAGAGAATATAAGCATAATTACCTTTGTAAATTGACAAGAGTATTTGCTTTCTACTGATTGCTAACCCACAGAACCAAATTATCCCAATTGTCAATTGATGTGTTGATGCCACTTTTGTATTTGATAAAACGCCATAGAGGGGAAATAAAGGGGCAATTGAAAAATAGGTGGGAATGGGATTCAGTTGATATATGACACAGAGGACAAATGTTATGGAGCCATTAATTTGTTGTCAAGGGTTGGTAATTTAGATTGGGTAGCCAACCAAAGATTGAATTTCATTCTTGGTATGGTTGGAGAGTTCCAAACCAGATTGTGCCATGGTACTGATGGATACTCACCTGCTAGGTGTGCAACTGTATGCTTGAAGGAATAAATTCCTGAAGGTAAGACTGTCCACCTTTTGGTGTCTTTTCTGGATTCACATGGAGCAGGTAGGTTTAGTAGTTCAGGGATTAAGTTAGTTATGGAAGGGGGAAAACTCCAATTATTGTTGACAATGAAAGAATCCACTTTTGTAGCCTCATTGAATCCACCTTCAGTTAGAATTGTGACTGGGAATTTTGAACATAATGGTCCTCCAAGGGCCCAATTATCCCACCAAAATGATGTAGAAGCACCATTCCCAATGGAATGCTTAATGAGCAGTCTTGCTGGGTGCCTTAATTGAAGGATTTTTCTCCAACTCCAGGAGCAAGGCTGTGGGTAGTTAAGTGTCCAAAGGTTCCTAGATTTAAGAAGGTGAGAATGGTACCACAAAACCCAAAGTCTGTTTGAATCATCAGCTAATAGGTCCCAAATGAATCTTATGATCCCAGTCTTATTTGTAATCTCCAAATTGGGGATCCCCAACCCTCCAGCATGCTTAGGGCTGCAGACCTTGTTCCAAGCAACTTTACTACCAAACGCTTTCATTTCTGGTCCAGACCATAAAAATCTTCTAAAAATCTTGTTGAGTTCATCAATCATTCCCTTAGATAGAATGAAAATGTTGCACCAGTAGTTCTGTGTGGAGACCAGAACTGCTTTGATCAATTGAAGCCTACTTACATATGAAAGGGATCTAAATGTCCACTTAGATACTCTATGAGTGATCTTGCTTACCAATAAACTGTAGTGCTATGCTTTTAAGTTGGTTGATATCAATGGCACTCCTAGATACCTCACTGGTAGTGTGCCTGCATTAATGCCTAGTAGTGAAGTAATATCATATTGAGTTTGCTCATTTATTCTAGAGAAGTAAACTTCACTTTTTGATAGATTGATGTCCAAGCCAGACATTGAGCAAAAGAGATCTAAAGCAGACTTGAGGACTGAAACTAAGCATATGTCTCCATGACAAAATAGTAACAAGTCATCAGTATAGGATAAATGAGTGATTTTATGAAGATTGCACCTCCAGTGGTATTTCAAAGATCGAGGACACCCTTCCCACATAATTATTTATTATTGATGAGAAAACATCTATTACAATGATGAAGAGGAAGGGAGAGATTGAATCTCCCTGCCTAAGACCTCTTTGACCCTTGAAGAACCCCTGAAATTCACCATTCAAAGCAATAGTGAATGATGGGGAAGTGATGCAAGCTTTGATGAGATAGATAAATTTAGGAGGATATTTATGTAAGGATAGGCAACTAATGATGAAATCCCACTTTACTGAGTCAAAGGCTTTCTTGAGGTCCACCTTTATTGCACATCTTGCTGGTCTACCATGTTTGTGATACCCTCTTAGCAACTCATGAGCCAAGAGAATGGGATCTGTGATTTTCCTACCATAAACAAATGCAGATTAGGATTGATCAATTAAGTAGGGCAGTGTTGATTGAAGTCTTGTAGCAAACAATTTGGAGATATATTTGTATAGGGTATTGACACAAGAGATAAGCCTGTAGTCATGGAGTGTGGTTGGGTTTTGACATTTGCCATTCCTGAAAAACTCTGAAATTACTTTTGTCACTGATCTGCCCACAATACTCCAAGTTTTTTGGAAAAATGAAGCATTATAACCATCTGGACCTAGAGCCCTATCTCTGTTTAGTTTCAGCATGCAGTTTTGGATCTTCATTTGTGTTAGCATATCTTCAAGGTAAGGAAGAAGGTTGGATGGAACTTCCTTGGTAATGAAAGGGGCTAAGTCAGAAATGTGGTGTGTAGAGGGGGTTGACTCTCTTAATAAGGACTGGAAATGGTGAACAACTTGAAATTTTATATCCTCCAAATCATGAATGGTTTGTACATCAGCTAAGGTGAGGGAGACAATCTTTTTTCTATTATTTCTAGAGGTGAGTGATCTATGGAAGTAGGCTGAATTACAATCCCCAAGTTTAAGCTAGGTCATTCTTGATTTCTGTCTGAGAACATCTTCTTAGATTCTTGATGAGTACTGAAAAGTGCGTATTTAAACCCCTTAAGCTTAGGTATTCTAGTACCTTTATCTATCTTACTTTACCGTTTTAGATTAATTTCGTATTATTTCTTTTTTCAGGCACTTATCTCGAAAATAAGCTAACTCAGCCAAATAAGAGCTTAATTGAAGCAATTCTGGGATTAATCAAAGAAATGAGCAAAGTGGAGAAAGAAGGAAACAAATAAAACCAAAGGTGGTAAGCAACAAAGTTCGATCGATCTAAGTTCAAGGTTCGATCGATCGAACAATGATCGATCTAAACACTTCAAGATAGATCCAAGCCTTGACCCAAAAACATAAAGTTCTAAAAGTTTGATCGATCCAACACCATCATTCGATTGATCGAACACTTTTGTCCTTATTCAAATGATTGATCCTATCCACAGCTATACCACCCACTAACCACTTTTGTCCTTTTCTCATAAATATCTCCCATAAATATATCGAATTTGTCTTTTTCTAAAAATCTCAGCCAGTTGGATCGATCTAGCCTAAGTTCGATCGATCTCACTTACCTTCGATCGATCCAAGTTCAAGGTTCGATCGATCGAACTTCCTCTAGTGCGAAAAAGTTAAAATTCCATCTCATTGAAAGTTGTCCTTTATCCAATCATTAGGGAATATTGTGTGCACAACCCTAGCTCATTTTGGGTGTCATTTTAACCTACCTATATAAGGATAAGGATTGCTTTTACGAAGGGGAGCCAATTTAATTTTCATATCATCTCTTGGAGAGGAAGTTTAGAGGAAGAGGTTAGAGACACCATTGGAGACTCTTCATCAACAAGGAGCAGATTTCAACCATGGAATTAGCCCTTGAGGGTTGGAGCATCATCACCATGAGTGGCTAGACATCCTCTTGGGGCTAGAGTTAGCCCCAAGCATGCTTTCTATATCTTAATCTTGTGTATCATTGAGGGATTAGTGTTGTAATTGATGTTT